GAAAATCGCCTGCCCGGCCACGGAGTGTCTCAGAGCTGAGCCGAGCTGACAGACGGAAACTTGCCATTTGTTGTGGTTTTGGCAGTGAGAGAGGGTAGCGTGTTCCCAGGCACACCGCTCGGTTAAAAAGGGTGCAGCGAAGGCATTGAGCTGGAGGAGAAAGCTGAGAGCTCTCGAGCAGGAGGTTTCAGGGATGTCATGCTGAGGAGGAAGGTGGCAGAGTCATTAAAAGATGGCTTAGACTGTTCTACTGGCCTGGACAAGCAGGAGACAGACCTCCAGACAAAAGCATACACAGGCACAAGCCCCCCCAGTAAGATAAGCAGCAAGGTCCCCCATATTTCATTTCCCTTTCTTCCTCATCCCAATAAATTCTGCTAATTTCCCTATTCACACAAATGCAGAAGGATGGAAATTTAAACCTGGGAGTTGGGCCTTGAGGTCACTGTCACCAGAAAGAAATTACAGGGGTCTGCCATAAGCAAGTGCCACCTTTGGCTGCGCTCTCCACTAAAGCTGTGGGGGTAAGCTCTAAGTAACAGTCAAATCCAAATAAATAAGGCCAAGGAAAAGCATACAGAAAGCAGCAGTGAGAATGGCTGAGCAGAGCATGAGATGGGGCCGTGGGACCTTCAAAATGTTTGCGCTGCTGTCAGGAAGCTGAATGAGACAGCAGCCTTCAACAGCTGGGAAAACATGTTGCAAAACAAGGAGAATTAAGTAATTCTCCATATGCACATCCTACTCTGAGGCATTTTGGACAAGCTCAATTTCTCCAACCAGAACAATATTATTATTTTTTTTTTAAAAAAACATGTTGCACACACGCTCTGCCAGTGACAAATCTTGATATAGTTTAAGCCTAAAACCGCAGCGCATCTGGAGCCGGGCAGGGCAGCTCCGCGCAGCCAGAAGTCCTGGGCCCCATGGTATGTGCTGGATGACATCCTCAGAAGGCTGTGTCATCCCAAACACATCCCCTGCTGCTGGGTACTCGGATACACACACACACACACACACTTCCCCTTGCCCCCTGTAAAACATTTGGAACCTACCTCTGAATGGCAAGTGGCTGCGTGCCCCATTACGGAGATGGCAGGCACCACAGTACATCCCTTCACTTCTTCTGTAATTTTAAGTCTTGTTGATCATGCAATAATTTATTTCAGCAAGGCCACTCATGTCAAAGTTGCCGCAGACTGTACAATGAGACTTAGGCTTATTACCATAGGTTGTGGATGCCGTGTTAGCACCCTGCTAGGAGAAGCCGTGTTCAGACACGGCTCGCCAGGCAGAACGCGGGACAAGCTCAAACCTGTCTCACTTCCAACAGAAAATGAAGGCTAAAAGCAGCTGGGTGCATCTGTTCCTCGCCAGCACCTTGAAATCAATCCCGAGACATTCCTGCAGCTTTAAAAGAAGTGCCCTAAAACACCAGGTCTTGGTCCTGCAAATTAAAAGTACACACGAGGATTGCTGTGGCCAGAGAGAGCCAGAACCCGAAGATGAAAAGGCAAATGAGTGGAGATTTTCTCCATCTGACACAGGCACATCAATGCTCTTTTTTTCCAGCCTGACAGTTCAGGGGCCCAGCAGGGAAACCCCCTTCCCTAAACATAGCCTCATTAACAGGGAGCACTAAGGAGCCTGAAGGAGAAGGGCAGCCCCCAGGGCTGAGGGCAACATGACTTAGCACCACACAACCGTAGGCCATCACAGCGTCCAGCCAGACAACAACTCAGTACAAATAACAAAAGTTTTCAGCTATGCAAAAGAGTTTTAAAGAAAAGTCTTGAAAATGTGAGTCCCTGCAATGTGACCGGGCTGTGAAATGAGTGTTGAGGGTTTGAAGCTCTCCGGCACCAGAGGGACAGCGCTGCTCCGTGCATGCATCATTGCCATGGCAACGGCAGCTTTCACCTCCCCATCCCTTGCTGGCTGAAAGCCCTGCAGTGCTTTGTGCTGAGACTGCAAAGAGGGGAGAGAGTCTCCTCTCCCCCCCCTACCCACCACCCGGCGCCGGGGAGAGCAGCCCAGGAACAAAAAGCCTTGTCTTCACCAACAATACAAGGTCCTGGGAGGAGGGAGGCCGAGCAGAAAGGATGGACTTCCCTTTGCTGGTGGGAAAGGGGGCTTCCCCCCAATGTGCAAAAGTGCACGCTCACTTCCCAGAGCTGCACAAGCGACATGTGCCTTTCCCAGTTTCACCAGAATGGCCAGCTTTGGTTTGCTGGGTCAGGGCACAGGGAGGAGAAACGCGCACCGTTAGAAAGGAGGAATCCGAGTGCTGCTTCCACGCAGGGATCCCTGCCCAGGAGGAGATGGAGGTTGGACTGAGAGGGCTGGCAAACCCTCCTGTCATCAGGGAGACAGGCTCCAGGGATGGTCAGCAACCTGTTAGAAAGCCAAACCTCAAAAACAGGTCCGATGAAAAGCCACCTCTCCCCAGCACGCACAGAACGCAGCCGTAGGGTGGTTTGGGCGACGTTTCTCCTTGACTAATTAAAGCTTCTCCTCCACCCTGCAGCTCACGATATTAAGATTCAAGCCCTGGCCACCTAACTAGGAGCCAAACTTCACGCCGCACAGCTGGAGCCGCAGTGGCCCTGGCAGATGGTGTGGGCTCATCTGCATGCTCTCCATGCAGCCCTCCAGCCGCAGCAGGCGACCGGCAGCTCTGCCCGTTGCTGAGGTTACAATTAGGCACATTTTCATCCCTGCAAGGTGCAAATGAGTGGAACTACAGGTGAGATGCATAAGCAGTGAGCTGGGTATGCCTAGAGCTGCTCTTGTTATTGAGCCCAACATACATATATACAGCCAAAATGAAGGCTTCCAGCTGGTTCCCATCACTTCCTTTACGATACGTCCATTGCCGGCCCAAGTATGAATCAACCTCTCTGCAAGTGTTAAAGGAAAGCCTGAGAGTATCGACACGAACTCTCAAAGCAAGACAAAGGATCCAGGTGATGGAGCACAGAAACACAACAGGAGCACCATCTGGTCCTCCTCTCCCCACCCTCGAAGAGCCTTGAGGTTTCAGGAGAGCCACGTTTTGACCTTTCCCTTGCCACGCTTCCCCTCGCTCTAGGTTCAGCTGTGCGAGCGCCGGCCTTCCAAGCAGAGAGGGACTGCTTCCAGCCTCAGTCATCACCACCTCCGAGGCTGCCAGAGGCACTGCTAGCAAAGCCAATGCATCCTCTCCAACCTCCGTAGAGTTCTCTAAGATTAGCCCTTTCCTCCCAAAGGGCAACAGTTTCCTGCGAGCAGGAGCATTAACTGAAATTCTTCATTCTGGAGAGAGACAAGATAGCAGGAATATGAAGAACCACTTGCAGCTGATGCTGTGAGACCTCACCACATCCTGCTATCCGAATTCCTCACCCTCCACTTCAAATCCTGAAGCCGTTGGAGACTTCTAAGAAGAGCACAAAGCTACTCAGCAGATTTTTTCAGCTAATGAATCAACACAAGCTGTCCAGGAAACCAGAAATCCAGCCCACTGGAATGCTGCAACCCCAGGGAAGGGGGGGCCAGGCAGTACGCTAGGAAGGAAATGAAACAGCAAACCAGAAGGAAAGGAACATTTCAGCACTGACCCCTCTTGCCACAGTTACTGTTCCGTGTTAGACGTTTTAGGGAAAAAAAGTGATTTCAATTCATTTTGCACAGTGAAGCGTTCATGTTCCCCAAGCCTGAATTTCGTTCTGTGGTGCTGACATATGTACATTTTGAAAACAACTTGGGTTTTGCAAAAAAAAAAAAAAATATTTAAACATGAATCAACATTGCCACCTAGTGACTAGCAAACCTCCTCGCTCCTGACACTTGGATGATCCAGCAGAATCCCATTTCCTTCCCAAATGCTAGAGGCAGATGTTTGCAAAATATATGTGGAGATTAGAGATCTCAAATGGAATTGTGCATTTTTCATAAAGAGCTTTCCCCTGCTGGTAAGTTCAATTTTCACTCCAGAATGCAAAGTGCACTGCTGGCAACTTTGGGTTTCCCAGACAATAGAATTTTTACTTCCTATTATTTTCTCAATACAGGCAAACAATGCTATCACATCAATACGAGAACCCAAAGTTCTGGCAGCCTCAAGCATAAGGTTAACACAACTCTAGAGAGAATGTCAGTGATTAGCAGAAATCTCTGCTGGGGAACAGGCAGTTCCCTGAATATTGCATTGAGAATTCATTGTTGTGGCTAAAGTTAGGCAAGGCGCCTCGTAGCTTCAGTGCTAAACACTGATACCATCCACACTGGCCTTGGCTCCCTGGCACCAGCAGAAAGTGGGTTCTACATACATTTGGGAGACTGGGAAACAGATTTCTACACTTCTATTTTTCCCCAGAACAGATGGCACAGACACAGCAGTGAGCTCTCCCCACTCCATCCTCTCACTGGGTCTGACGATTCTCCTGTTACAGCTATTAGCAAACTTTGAGAGAAACACAAAGATCTTCTGCCCTTTGAATGGACATGTTTTAGTGAGCTCTTCAAACAAGTTTTTTTTGTCACTTCCAACTCCATCTCTATTCAAGCTACAGCATAAAAAAAATAAATAATGCAGATACTAATTCTCTTAAGGATAGCATGTAAGGTTGTTTCACCTCATTCTCCAGAAGTTTCATTCGATGAAAGGATTACAATTTGGTTTTATGACCTTTAAACACCCACCCAGCTCCCTGCTCACCTAAAACATTTCTGTATATGCAAGACAGCAACCTAAGACATCAGAAGGCTTTTTTTAGCCAACATCTTCCAAGGAAAGAAAGGAATACTGTTGTCTTTATCAATAGTGCCCTGAAATTCCTCTGTCCAGCCCCACAATTTTATAGAACATCAGCAGGATCCAGCAAACACTTTGACTGCTGCCCCATGCAGCCACGTTAGATAAATTCATTCACCTGCTCCTAGGAAGTGTGAGATGTCCTCCCAGCTCTCCTGCCCAACACACTCCAGAAGAGACCAAATGGCAAGAATCTCCCAATTACCTTTCTGCAGCGGGGATTAGGGCAGCTGAACCGCTTCACATCGTTGTCCAGTAGAGCTGGGAAGTTACAGAATGGACACCTGCAGCCCAAAATAAGATGCCATTAATGCAGAGGGCCAAACATATCTTTGCTGAAAACGGATTTAGTGAAATAGCTGTGGCAGTTAATGAGGCTGCCAACCAAACGTCTGCCGCCAGGATGTGCTGACTCCTGCCTTTTTGCTCATATTTCTTCGATCACTTCCCTGTTTGCAATCAAAATATTATATGCTCAGCACTGCTTTTGACCATGTAATTTAGAGGATCAGCACAGAGCTGGCAAGTAAGTCTTAGGGGAGACAAGTCCATTGAATTTTAATCTGCTCCCAGTCAAAGGCAGACCAACGCGAATAAGAACAGACCTGGGAAAGCAGAAGCCTGAATTTATAATACAGCTCTTTGAACGCTACTTATCTCATAGTCAGCACACATTTAGGGTTTCAGGGAATAATTTTCTACAACAGTAAGTGTAGTTTGCATCCTCTGCTGGACACTTACCTGACAAGCTCATCTGCACAGGCAGCAGCCACCTCCTCCTCAGCTTTCCTCTCATAGTATTTACAGAGGATGTTCTCTGGAAGCACCTTCTCCAGCTCGCTGGTGGGGAACGAACACGTGCAACTGCCTTCCATGCAGCTGAGCTCTGACTGGGGTTGGAAGGAGAGAGCTCAGGTTCAGTACAACAGCAGCAAAAAGCAAGACTCAGTAGCCAGAACAATCCCAAATAAACCAGTGCAGAGCCTTGCTTAGAGACAATAGAGCTTAAGTCAGAGGGTGCCTGCCAGAGAATAAGTTTGCTGTGGAAAGAACAAGGAATAGTTCATCAAACTGATCAGGCCTCAAACAAACACTGGACATGAAGATGCTGTTGACAGCTGGGATCACACCTCACCCACTCCAAGGCCACTGTGACCACAGAACAGCTCGTTATTACTGCGTGGTCTCTGCTGAGAGCTAGCACTCTGCTCACACACAGCATGTTGCATTCTTGTCAATAGAGTCATATAAAATACAGTTTGTATGTCTGCATGGACTAGAGATCCCAGAGTACAAAAGCATCCCACAGTTTGATCATCATATCTTGAGGCAAAGGAGCACACACGCCTCAGAGCAGGTTAATTACTCGTTTATAGCTGTTAAGTACCAGGATAATTGCTAGCTAAATTGGAGACTAAGAAGGTTAGTAGTATCGTAGAGGAACCAACCCACAAATTAAGTTGGGATCACAGTGATATTATGAAGGACAAACACTCTTGGCTAGGAGGAAACTGGCCAAGTCAGCAATAAGAGTGTGTTCTCTGTGCAGATACCATTAGTTTATTAAATAAAAACCAGATGAGTGTAAGTTGTTGTTATTATGAATGCTGTAGAAAGTACTCCTAATAATCCAAGTTGATAAGCATAGAGCACAGAGGATGGAGGTTAGAAAAACTGAAATCCCTTTCAGCAAAGATCCCATTGTGAAGTTGTTGGCTTCACCTGAAGGTGAGACTGACTTGTTGGATTTGGATTTCAGGGCACAATTCCATTCAAACATTTCCTGGGAAATGCAGTTATATCTGATTTAAGCAACAATACTACGCAAACAGCAATGTGATCTCTCAATAGCAGTTCACCCATTTTCCCCTTGGGAAATTTCCCAGATGGAAAAATTTCCCAGTTAGGAAATTCTTACCTTTCCAGAGCCAAAAACTGCCTCCTCAGCATATTCTGGGAAATTTCCCAGTTAGGAAATTCTTACCTTCCCAGAGCCAAAAACTGCCTCCTCAGCATATTTAATTAGGCACTCCTTGCAGAACAAGTGACCATCTGCACACTGAGTGAGCTCTTCAAATGCAAACTCCCCGTAACAGCAGCAGCACTCTATCATCTGACCATCCTGCAGCCATAAACAGAGGTGTTAGCACCATCATCAAAACATCAATAACTATTGCAGCAGACACATACAACCACAAGCCATAAACAATGCCAGCATGTTCATGAGCAAAAAATGAGCAGAAGATACACCATTCCATTAGATATCCCATTTGGTGGTCAAAACTCAATAAGCACAACCAGAAACTCAGTTTTAAGTAACTTAATATCTACACGTCCTGCTCGACAGGTTCCAAAAAAGCAGCAGAACATATGGTGTTTCATTGATTCTCAGCTCACAGGCAGAGAAGCATCTTGGGTTTGGGAAGCTGCAATCACAGGGAAGCAGCAGAGAGTACACACCATTCCCAGGGGAAAACCAAACTTCAGATCTGTTTGTTGCCCTCTAAAGGAACGTTTACCCATCTGCCTGGAGAGACCTGGTCTGAGCCTCTTCACTGCAGGGGTGGAAGAACTTGCCACTTTGAAGGGTAAGTACACCCACACCTTCAAAGGTCCAACATCTCCTCCAAAGTTTGAAAAGAAATAGGCATTGAGAACGAAACAGTAATTCACAGCTGCTGAACTGATCTCTAACTTTCCTCTCTTTGTTTAAAGGTTTTAAAAGAGTCCTTTCTGCAAATGAGGAAGGCCTTTCTGCTGGCAGAGCTCCAACACCAACAAATCTGTTTTAAACAGCCACAATGGTGGGAGCAAGAGCAAACCTGGTGCTATTCTACTGCAATGTTTGTTCTGGCCTGTAAAGATACAAGCAAGCAGCTGACTGAATTACTACAGATCATTACGTGCATCAATACTGTCTTGCTGGACTCAGCTCTCATCTACCTTTTCCAAAAGGCAGCCAACACAGGCTCTGCAGGTGGTGCCAGCTCAGCAAAAATGCAGCTTCAGAGAAGTACAAAACAGTGTCTACACACAAGCTGAACCCAAGGAACCACATCACAGATACTGACCTTCTGATACTGCTCCTCATTCATCTGCAGAGCGAGGAGAAAGTCTGCGTGCTGCAAGAGAGACACGTGCATCTGTATTTTCAGAATAAATAAAGCAATTTTCTACCCTCTACACTCTTTTACATTATCTCAAGACTTACAAACCACCAAAGAAGGCACATTGCCTGCTTACAGCATCGCTCAGCCCATCCTTCCAATCCATTAAGCTATTTATGATTCAGCTAAAACAGATGGGAGAAGGAAAGGCAGCAGGAACAAAGAGCCGAATTCCGTATGATGGAGAGCTGCTGGTTCAGGTTTCCATGGGCAGAGATGATCTCACCCAATGGGCCCCTCCACAGACAGCCCCCAAGGAACATTAGCTTTGTGTTTAAAAGGAGACACCATCCATCTGCCTAAGAGGATCTTTAAGAAGCTACTTTAGAAAGGCCTGTAGGTGCAGAGCTGTGAATTCAGTCTTCCCCCAGACTAAGAGGGGAAGACAAGGCACCAGCGGGTGTTGCACGGTTCTGCTTTGAAACATGCAGTGCTCAGCACAGGATGTGACATTCTGGAGATGTTCTGGAGACACAGGACTGCCAGCTTGTGGAAGGCAGAGAGAGTGGACACACTGCCCTGGGCATGGTAATTATCAGCCACCAACACTGAGCTGCAATTGCAAGCCCTAAAGCATTAGAGAAGGCTGCTAACAATTAGAGGAAAGAAGTAATTAGTAGAGCTTTTAACTACTTTGGATAGAAAAAAAAGTCCAGAATGGTGGTGTATCACAGACAATATATAAACATTTGCAGATATATGGAAGGTTTTCATCAGCAAAACTAGCAGCTATGTATTTTAAGTAAATAATAAAATCTGTGCTTGGTATTTTCCTCCAAAAACAATTTACTTGGGAGGAGCCATTCATGTTAACAGGGAGTAAAGGGGAAAAAGTAGTCAGTTATTCAACATTTTGTTCAACATTCGATTTCTTTAAGAGGCAGATTTCCATGTTTATGCCCAAGACCCCTACAGTAGCTGAAGTCGTTTGCACCATAAGGTCTGAGCAGCTCCTACCACTCACCTCTGCCATCTCTTTAACTTTCTGCTCATAGAACTCCTGCTCCAGTAGCACCGGTGGGAGAAGGGAGTGCTTGTCGTAGGACCTCCAGTGCCGCCTCTTATTCTCCAGGAAGAACATGCGCTTCTCTATTTTCACATCCCCTAGAGGAGAGTTAAAGGCACAATGAAATGGGACAGAGCAGCCAGAGCAAAGCTTAAATCTCTCTTCCTCCACACACCACCACCAGCTGCACAACTTCAGCATCTCAAAGCTGTACCAAGCAAGAGGTACTAACGGAGAATATCTCCAAATTTGATACTGGACAGTGACAGAAACAGCTGCTTTGGGACCACATCCCTTTTCAAGAACAGCACTTTGTTACTGTAAGCAGAACTGGCTTGCAATGATGCAGAGAGCACAAACACAGCTTGGTATTTACCTTGCTCAAATTTGAAGTCTATATATGAATACTGATTCATCTCTTTCCTCCTTTTTCGTTTCCCACTGGTTTCGTGAGACAGCTCCTGCCATTTTTTGATAGCATCTGAGAAGGCCTAGAAAACAACACACAGACTTAAATCCTGTCTGTCCCTGCAAGGAAGCAGCAGCACGTACTTCAAATCAAAGCACAGTACAAACATGTGCATAAGACTGATCCAAAACTGCAAAGACCAACACCCCATAACAGAGGCCCTCTTCCTTTTGCTCACTTTTATGTACTCATAAAGCAATCATTCCATAAAACCAAAAATAGTTGAACACTTTACAGCACCTCAGCTATTAACTGTAATACACCTGGTGTCTGCTCTGATGCAACAGAACTTTTGGGTTTTTTTTGGTGGTTGGGTTCTCATTTAAAAAAAAAAAAAGGAAAAAAAGCTCAAATACTCAGTGCTCAATCAAGCAACTGAAGAGACAAAGAAGTTTTGTTTTACTTAAGTCCTGGAATAGTAGAGAAAGAAGCTCAAGCAAGAGAAGCATATTAGAGGAGTAGATCCAAATCAAAAGCTTGAAGCCCCGTTTTCATTCCATGTATTGATACCTCGAACAAGTATCTTTGCAGCTCCATTAGTGTGAAACTCTTTTACGAGGAATATAGGGCTCATTCCACAATTCATAATAAGAAGAAACAGGACAGTGAGACTCAGGCTATTTTCAATTACACACAGTCAGTTAACTAATAGCAGCAGTTAAACGTTTAAGATTTAGCTAAATGTCTAGGCTTTATTGGCAATTATACCGCACTTCAGCGGCGACGTACAGGAACACATCTCAGTTTAATGCATTCCCTACCATCAACCAGCCAGCATTTCCCCACTTGTCCTATTAGAGAAAAGTAAAAACTTCCCACAGCACTCTGCCCGGCCAATAAATTTTGCAAGTCTCTACTAAATGGATTAATACTTCTTAAAAGGAAAGTCAGATTATAAAGAAACCCCCATAACCAGGCACTAGCAGATGGTACAGTGAGGCAAAAGACATCTCACTGTTCTCCACAGACATAGGAGATAACCTTAGGAAAGAAAACAGACTTGAAGTGGAGAACCTTTCGTGTGATTGCATAGTGTCCCTTGAGTTCATGGAGCGCCCACTTAATGTCTTGGCTGCTCAGCATTTTGAAGTCTGCCATGAGGAGATCTGCTGCCTGAATAAAGCACCGCTGGTCGAGTGGGGCAAGTTTGGAAAAGTCAAAGTAGTCCACTTTAGGCACCTGAGGAGGAAAAGGTGAAAGATATTAAAAGGTTGCTATGAGGAAAGCACAAGAACACCCCAAACCACTCTTTCAGTGATCAGGACCTTCTGCAAGGCCACCCAAAGTTCAGGTTACATGACACCTGGTTCTGAGCACCCATCTAACCATCAGCTCAGAGCCCACTGGGGCACACGCTGCTGTGGGTAACCTGCCCTGAGTGGCACCACGCTGCAGCTCCACTCCCAGCTATGCAGGACCCAGGCCAGGTAGTTCAAAGCTGTTTTGTGTGGCTGCAGGGGACAGTGAGGCCAGCTTATATTTAGGTTACAATAAAGGGCAAACAACTTTATTGGCTTGAGGTTGAGAGATGCTTTCAAGCGTAGAAAGAGGTATTCAACATTTCTCTCTCACAGAGCGCACACAACACACTCAAAGTGGCTCAGAGAGAATTGTTTGTCAAGTGGATTTAAAAAATAAATATATAAAATCAAGAAGCTGTAGGGAGATTTGCAGTTACGAGGCTGAAAGGCAATGCCTAAAGGCCACACAAGAGAGACCTGAGGGCCAAGGCTACAGCTACACAACAGCAAAACAGCAAGTCACCTGCAAGCAACTAGCTACTGCTATTTAACACCATCTTAATTGCCCGCATACCCCTGGGTATGGCTAAACCAGGCACTCTAAGAACACACATTAAATGAACTAGACATCCCAAGACCTGCTCAGGCCAAACAGACCGGGTGGGAGACATGCTGTAGATGAGGACACTCTTACTTGCCTTTGTCTCATCTTGGCTGGCAAGCAGGCTGCTGCTGGGGTTTAAAACCACTCTGCCTTTCTTCTTTGGGTAATCTGGATTTTCCAGAAGAAAGTTACAAAGTCTGCAAAGATAAATATAGTTAGTTCAGGGTTCAGGAGCTCAGGTTCATTCCTCACTTGTCCAATTTTTAGTCTCCTGTAATTACAAGGCTGGGCGGGCAAGTCACAGCCTGCCCTGTAAGAACCAAGAGAGGTCTCACGGAAAGAAATGACTGAGAATTAAGGAAAGAATGATCGGCTTTATGACTGCAGAAGGAAAAACAAATAGATCTGTCTTTCAACGATTACATTTACATAAGCAAAGCCTGTGTGGGTGAACTACTAACCAACCACAATCTCTCCCTGCCTGGGGCGAAGGATCATCCCTACTTCCCCACTCACACCACGGGTAAAACCCCTTTTAGCACACATCTAATCCTCTACAACTAAGAGTCAGGATGGACTAACTTTCCACTGCTCTGGAATTAACATTATGAGGGCCATACAAGAAAACAGTCCCAGCATTAATCAAAACCTAGGTGCCATCTACTGCAGCTAATTCAAATGCACCTCTGGGAAAAGCAGCACACAAACCCCTAGAGAACCTGTGAAAGGTTGCTGTCTTCCTTAACAGATTCAAATTTGAACTAGAACCTCCAGTCTCGATCTACTTCCACATCAGAACAAAGACAAAAACATGTTTAAGCTCTGTTTACATACAGTGTGTACTCTGAATATGGGTTTCATTGTAATAAAGCTTGAAATCACACCAGCATTGTTCAATTCATGCTAGAAACTGGTCTAGTGAGAACAGCATTTAGAAAATAATCACTAAAAATTGCTTTAAAAAAAAAGTATCCTATCCTGCAAAAGCAACATAACCGAGGTCTTATCACAAACAATCGTAACTTTGGCAGGTAAATTTAGTTTAACCAATTATTTTGGCTTAGAAAAGGCTCTAGCAAGTAGTTTCAGCATACCCCAATGCTGGAGATCCAAAATACTTCAGAAGCCCTTTTGAAGGGGAAGTTGGCTGTAGGCTCTGTCCAAATCAAACTTTCACAGCCCATTCTGAACCGTCACTAACCAGCTGTGCCAGCTGGGGCAAGGAGACATAAGCTGTTCCTCAGTTTCCCCAGCTGTAGAATAACATCCTTCTGAAAAGGGCTAGGACAAACAATTAACATTTGTAAAACTTTTTGAATGAGAAGGTGCTAGGTTGCAGCAAAGACATAATTGCAGCTAATTTACATTCCCCATGTCAGAAATCAGTCCCTAATTAAGAAATCTGAACTGGCTCGAAGCATTAACCCCCTATCAAGGCATGATTACTTTAGCCCTGCTTTCACATTCAAAGCAGAGGCATTTCTTTTTGTTTAATCAGGTATTGACATATTGAGCCAGAAGCTTTTGACTGAGCGTGAATGCTTCTGCACACAAAAGCTGAATAGATGATACCCTGCTAAGAGGAGCTCCCACATCTTATCTTTCACATCAGCTGAAAGTTTTTAAGACCGTCATTTCAGAAAACAACAAAATATCTTGGCACCGAGCATTTAATAGCTCCCTGCCCCCTCCCCTCCGGGTCCTTTTTTTTTTTGTAAAAGATAACTGTTCTAATCCAACTAAACAGAAACTTCAGGGAGCTCAAATCACTGCAGCTCAAAGACAAGGGTTTCAGCCACATCCCAGCCATTCTGCACGTTGCCATTGCCATGCTGGGGATTTCCAGCGACGACGTTAACCTTCCATGTCTGACAATTAGTTAAGTGGGTCCCAGCGCGCAAGGCACGCACCCTCACGGCACTGTTCATTAATATCTGCACCACAGGACACAGAGCCAGTTAAAAGCCTCATCCCTACCCAAACCCAACCACCCTTAGTTATTATATTTCAAGCCTGATTCAGCTTGACACACCGTGGAGATCAAAGAGACCCTGCCAGCGAGGCTGACCAGTGCTTTGACCCATTTGTTCTCCTACAAAAGAGGCGGTGACAACTCAAAAGATAGTTTGGTTAAAGGAATAAAAATATGGAGAGGAAATCTTTATCATCCAGTAAGTGGGTAACGCACCGCTGAGCAGACACTGTAGATGGCCTACGGGGAAGCCTGTAAGCACCTTTTCATCTCACTGGGTCTGTGCCACACAAAAGGAGAGAAGAGATTTTGGGAGCAAAAAGGGAAGGAACACATTAAGACCGACAGAAGCCAATAGTGGGATTTAATTCTATCAGGCTTCGCTAAATCCCCGCAGGACACAATAACGAGGTGGTTTTTTTTTTCCCCCCACACAATCTGCAAGAGGGTCCCGCAGGCAGATGCCCAACTTCACCACCCCATGGCCCTGCAGAATGGCCCTGATGGTCTTCTACACTCCCAATGCAACCATCCACACCAGGGTGCACAAAGTACAGGGTGTGGGCACCTGAAAGCTGCTCTCATGCTGCCCACAGCATCGCTGCGGAGAAAGCACTTTGGAAAGACAATAAAGAAGTTGCAGTCTTGATGATTTTTTAACTAAAAAGCGCTACTTTGGAGGCACAACTTCACAACACAAGCAAAGGCAGCAGAATAGAAAAATCTATGCCCAACGGATGGGATCATCCTCGGTTCCTTGCCAGTTAACTTATTTATGGTCCAGTAACTAATTCTAAGCTTCACACAGTTGAATGCTGCTTAATTAGTGCCCTAGTTAACTGGAAAGGGCATTGGATTCATACAAGATGGAGTGAATACTCTGGCAACCAACACCTATTCTTCATTCTTGTATCACATAATAACCAGTTTCAATGTGTTGGAGACAGGGGTGACAGCTGCAGAGAGAGGGGCCACCTACCATCAGGCACAAGTCACAAGTGATTTACTTCAAGCCACTCTCCCCTCTGTGTCCCCGGTGCCAACACACGCAATCCTTTCTCTTCAGCTGCCCAAGCTTTGCCCACAGGGGTAGGGAGATGATGCAACTTATCAATAAGGTTAATTACTTTTTTTTTGAACTTCTGATTCTAACATGACGCTCAGAGATACCAAGCACGATGAACACTAAGGTATTCTCGAGCTGCTAACAACTGGGAAAGCAACAGTCCTCACACTGATTTTCCACTCCTTTTACTTCCCTTCTCAGCTCACGTTTCTGCTCAGTTTGACCAAAATCAGTCCATCAACAGATAGCCAGAATCAATCCTACCAGGCCTTAAATGTGTTTGCTCTATTCTATCTGCAAAAAGTGAGAGAACTCAAACAGCACAACTGCTACTTGATTAAATAAAAGCGATATAAGACAATATCATGACATTAAATAATGGACTCCAAAACAGCATCAAGCTTTACCTGGAACAAGCCAAAAGCCAGTGAAATGAAGAGGCAGGAAAGTGTTTTTTCCAATTCAAAACTCACCAACCCACCTTTATACTCTGCTTTATAGAAGCCATCTCAACACCTTAATCCTGACAGTCACCCTTTTTAAGAATCCTAGTAATAGTTAAGGGGAAATGATATGCAATATCTTTAAATAAGCACATGATCTTAAAAGAAGAGAAGCTACAGCACAATGTCAGAATTAGAGAGGATTTAAGAAAAAGATCTATTAGAAGGAAAAAAAGAATTTGCTGCTCTTTGGGACTATCAAGCAGTGCTGACTCAGCCTGGACGTGCTCTAGAACAGCTTCGTTAGCAAATGGGGGACATGGGAACGTGACTGCAGCCAAACTGTTCTGTGATACACCCTGGCTCTTAGCTCTGTACTTACACATTTAAGTCATTGCAGTTCTTGATGCTGATTAGCTCTTCAATATATTCTTTCTTCACATCTGGGAACCTTGCTTCCTACAGTAGGAAAAGCTAAAGGTTACGTAGGTATTAGAGGAGCTGTGTAGCACAACCCAGCAACGGCACCAAAGACTGAGATTTACAGGTAATTATCCCAAGACAAGGGCCAAAATGGATTTCAAGAGACCATTTATATCCACCCAGCCTGGACACTGCAAGCTGCTGGCTTTCCTTTGCTTCACAGGATGATTGCTAACAGCTCTTTCTCATAAGAAGAGCAGGGGCAGTGACATGAATGGTCACAAGCAGCTGCCTAACAAGTGCTTCAGGCTGGCTGGAAAGAGGAGAGGCACATAGGTATGATCTACAACACAAGCAAAGCTAATATTTACCATCAGACAGAAGATTAAGGAGTTCCAGGTTGTGTGCTGAAATACAACATTCCAAAGTAAAAGGGGAAAAAAAAACCAACCCAACAACACTTATACCCACCCAAAGCACCCAGACACCCCAGCAGTGAGATCAGAACAGACAACAAACCTTTACTGGCACCTCCGGGAAAGCTCTCCCAGCCTTAGCCACGTAGCAAAGAGCACCTTTTCCTCCTCTCTCTCACTGGGTTTCTGAAGAGGTATTTGCAATCGATTGCACCACTCGGTATTTTGCTTTGCAAGACTGAACTGGTCACAGTTGTCGAGCAGTGAGAATGGAAAAGTATCTACTTGCCCGTCTCAAAGCACGTCACTGATCCACAAGGTCTTACTTGGAAAGACCTTGTTGGACTGCTACTTAAAGAATATTTTCCTCAACCTCAGTTTTCCCAAAGAGACTCAGATAAGGGATGTGGAGGGAATACTTGGAGGGGTGGTGGTGTAAGATACAGATGCAGTAAGACACACTTGTTTGCAAAAAAGTATTCCATAAGGCATCAAGAGAGACCTTTCCTCCCTAACAATCAAGGGGAGGAGTGTGAACACTGAAAAAAAACATTAGACATGTGAAGCACCCCTATATTTTTTTTGCTTTGGTTGTTGGTTTTGGTTTCTGATTTTTTTTTTTTAAAAAAAACAACTAAACAAGAACATGTTGCCCAAGCTGTTGAAAGCAATCAAGGAGAGGAGTGTGTACACTGAAAAAAACATTAGACATGTGAAGTACCCCTTTTTTTTTTTTTTTTCTTTGGTTGTTGGTTTTGGTTTCTGACTTTTTTTTTAAAAAACCAACCAAACAAGAACATGTTGCCCAAGCTGTTGAAAATACCAAAGGCTAAAGAGAACTTGGTGGTTCAGTTCTTGTGGTGAGTGTCCCTCATGCCAAGCTTCACACGCAGAACCAGGAAGGAGTGTGTGGAATCAACGTATACGAGTCTTCACACTGCTTATCCAGTGATTTTTAAGTGCTACTGGCTGGAAATCCACACTGCATTACCCCTCACAGCTATGGTGGCCTTAACACAGCCATGGACCAAACTGCTTTAGGAGAGCCAGCCAAAAGCAGCCGCAGCTCTCAGCCACGTGTCTCTAAGCCTTCTCTACCCCACCCTCTAGCCCTTTGCCAGTGTTTCGTGGCTCAGTTTGGCTGGTTTAGCTCTACATCTAAACCAGCTCCACAGAGTTGGGTTAGGAATCAGCCAGACAAAAGCAAACTGGCAGAACTGAGAGGGCAGCAGCCTTTAAAGGAACAGACCCAAGTTATTTCACCTCACTGTGCCCTTGAGGTGCAGTGCATTCTGTTCTGCTAAATCTCTCTGGCCAAGAGCTCATCCCAAAGCAAACAGTGCCCTCAAGATCTGCATCTTCTCACCAATTCTGCCATAGTGCTGGGGTTGAGTCTTTCAAACTCAGGTTTTCCAAGACAGGTCACTGCACACTCCTCTCCTGGTGCTGATTCTCAGCCCAAATGAGGAGGATTTGCAGCTGAAGTCAATAAGGCCCTTCTTTGAGCATGTGAAACACCCCACACCTTGAAAAACCCGTCTGAAAATAAGATGCAGGCTGAAGTCAGACAAGGCCTAGGAATACTTACTGTTTCTCTGATGAGCAGCACAGTGAGGTCTTGGTCCTGCCCAGCAGCTCCTTGTTCTGGCACATTACTGCAGCCAAGTTCCTGAGAGCCCTGTGCAGGGAACGCTGGACCTGGCTGTTCATTGTCTATCGCTGCCTGTTGACCCGTTTCTTCTGGTGGATGAGCCGGTTGGGGTGAAGCAGGACCTGGAATCCCATCCTGCTGGGGTTCAGGTCGGGGGAAGGCTGGCCCAGGAGCCTCCTCTCCACGTGCCCTCAAAGATCCTGAGTCTGCTTCAGGCTGCCCTTGCTGAGGAGCACATCCATTGACTACAGCATGTGGCTCTCCTTCCAGTGGCTGGAAGTACGGGTGACCCAGCTGGCTCTTCTCATGGACCTCCTGGTCTGTGGTACTTGCAGCAGCTGTTCCACCAAGACTTTGCTCTGGCTCCACGTCCTTTCCTTGCCATCCCTGGGCTTCCACCTTTTCTTTCTGTTGCAGTGGAAGGTCTGCATTCTCCAGACTAATGGTTTCTCTGGTAACAACAGGCTGTGGACTTGTCTTTATTGCTGGAAGCAAACTTGGGCCAGGCTCCTGGTTACTTGTAAGTTCAAACTTGGGGCCATTAAGCTCAGATGTTCCAGGCAAGGCAAAGTTCACATTCTCATCCCTACTTGGTCCAGCACTGCTCTCTACCATGTGATTATACCGGTCTCCCTGGCACAGCAGAGCTGAGTTCTCATCTTGCAGATATGTGCTCCTCAAAGGCCCAACAGCACTTTTAGATCCTCCTTCTCCCACAGTGTTAGCACCCTGCCACTGAGCAGCAGGTCTGATGACATTGGGACGCAGGAGCTGCTGATACTTTGGGGTCTAAAAAGAAGACAGACAAGAGTAAGTAGGAGTTCTTGTCTGCACGTCAGAATCCTTGCCCCAGATGATCTTTTGCATCTAATCAAATTTCTGATGGAAACAGATGAAAAGTCTGCTTAGCATGATGCTTAATATAGCATAAAACTGCAACCCATGTACCTCTGTTTCACTGAACTCCATCCTCAGTCCATCCCTTGGTGCTAAGAGAACATTTGGCACAACTGGGGATGCACAGGACTTTCAGACTGCATTAATTGCCTGAGCTCACCCCAGTCCCCACTTCCTTCCCAGTAAAACACTCTGGGAAGGAGGAACTACCTGATGGCATATTTGCATTCTCACCAGTTTATTTAAACAGGCAGCAGGAACCAAAGCTCAAAAATGTTAATCTCTGGCCATCTTCTTGCCCCTGGCAGGTTAGGACTGCTACATGCCAACAGAATCTGCAAACTCTCTGCAACTGTTCTCAACTAAGAGACAGAAGGGTCAGCTTTGCAACACATTTTCTCAATGCCTCTGTTTCCTCTAAGAGAAAAATGGAATATCTCCTTAATATAACTTAGATATGAAATTAGACACTTAAAATAATCAGGGTAAGCTAAAGCTTTTGACCCTCTTCTGTGCCAGTGGAAAGAGATTTATCATGTGGGTTGGTTTTGTAAAACTGCAGAAACAAAAGTGCCTGCAATAGCCCAACAAGAATCCAAACAGCCCAGAGGAATATAAAGCATAAAAAGTGCATTTTGAAAACCCACATTCTAAGGAACATCACAACCTCTTACAAAGTACTCCACCTTTCTGGATTTAGATAGATAACTTTATGGAAGCTACAGCCTCCGTTAAGTAGAACTTTAAATACAATGTAGTTTAATAGTATAGTTCTCCCCTCCTGTGCCCAAAATCTGATTAAACACTTACAGCCAGCAAAATGCTGTCATTTTAACATTCATTTCAGACATCCTTAATTACTGTAACTGGACAGGACTCTCAAAGGAACACATCAGATATTTGCACAAGAGTTGGCTATAACAGCTATGAATAAACCAGGGCAAGAATGAAAAATCACCTCTGCCAAGATGACTACATCATCATCATCTTCCTCACGCTGCTGCTCTGCAGGCGTTTCCAGCAACAAAGGTAATTCTTCATCCGAGGAGTCTGAGATCGTGATAAGACCTTCGTCCCTGCGGTTTATCCGGTCTGTAGTAAAATAAGTAAATTTAGCTATTTGCTACAGGTCAACAACTAAAATCACAGGACATAAGCACTGAAATATCTGGAAAAAAATAAATCAATCTTCACATTTGCATTTAGGTCAACAACTGAAATCACAGGGCATAAGCACTGAAACATCTGAAAAAAAAATAAATCAATCTTCACATTTGCATTGCAGCAACAGGGAAGAAATGCTCAAAGGTCACTGGTTCCTCTGGAAGTTGCTGTCACAGCCACTCCCTGCCTCCCTCAGCCCTCTGAGCAAAACACCTGCACAAGCTACAGCTCAAGAGACCAAAGGCACACGAGTGAAACAGTCACTCTGACACTTATGCAGAGATTCTTCCATCCCAAACTTCAGCACGAGTCAAGCTGCTGCAAAAATTATCCTGAACAAGCCATGTACTGAGTAATTCCTAATTTTTGCAGAGAAGTCCTGAATGTTCATTATCTCAGAGACAATGCATTTTACTAACGTGCAGTGTATTCTAGAAGAGAGGTAAGGTTCTCTGTGCAATTCAGCCTCTTCCAAAAGAGCGTCACTTTGCAGGAAAACCTTCTGCAAGCCTGATATGGACCCCTGACTGTGGGTGCAGAAGAAATCCTACTATTAGATGACATCCTTGTCCCTCAAAGCTTGTCAAGAGTGGAATATAGATGATACTGAGCTGGAACACAGGAGAGACATCCAGTCAGGAACAGAGGGCTTCTGTAGTACAGAGACAGTGCACAACCATGCTCTCCCTACAATTTGACACAATATTTTGGCTTATGCTTTAGCATAAGTATTCATGATATTCATTTATGGCCTTTCAGGCATCCACAGAAAGCATCATGTTCAGGAACAGAGGGCTTCTGTAGTACAGAGACAGTGCACAACCATGCTCTCCCTACAATTTGACACAATATTTTGGCTTATGCTTTAGCATAAGTATTCATGATATTCATTTATGGCCTTTCAGGCATCCACAGGAAGCATCATGTTGAATTCTGCTCTTGAAGGAACGGGTGCCCATGCCTACACGCTATGAGGACAGGAACGCAAAGCCACCCTCTCTCCTGGGAGGTCCTCAGGAGGGTGGAACACCACAAGCCCCTCAGATCTGCTGAAATACCTCTACATGCTGTTCCCAAGGAGTCAACAATCTGCCTTCGGGCAGTACAACGTGAGAAAGGCAAGAGCCAAATATTTTGCATGTCAGCATAAAGCAAGAGAACTTTCTGTAGGTGGCTGTGAAGTCGGTGTAACAGAGCAGCGTGTGACACAGCAAAACAGACCTTGCAAGTTCAGTATCTATGGATCCTGCTGCTTGTAAGCAGTGTTTTACAGACAGAGGTTTGGAAATATGCGCAAATCAGTACTCACCTTTCCCTCTGTGACTACGGAAGCTGTTCAGCTCAGTTACTTCTTCATTTCCACCTCTCTCAGCCATTTTAAGCACCAGAACCCGAAGGCGTCAGTGCCCAGGCATGGCAGTCAGGCTCAAAGGAGGAACTAGAAGACAAAATAAAAGCAGGAGAGAGTAAGGCAAACTCAGCAGCACCCTAACCAGGCTTTCCCAAGACTAAGCCATTAGATCATTTTGGGGGTTCTCCTGGCCCCCCAGCATAGCATCTCCATAAGGATATTTTTCTGCACCACTTTCTCAGTGCCTAAAAGCAGAAATGTTTCTGTTGTCTTCTGTTCCAACAGTCGGGAGCCCACTGAAGAGTGCAGTCAGGCTCGAGAAGCCTCTCTGGAGAGGACAGGAAGATGCTGTGCAATCACAGAAGGGGGGGAGAGATACAAATCTGTCCATCCAGGACTCAAAACTTCCCCATATGTGGATGCTCCCCTGTTTACAAGAAGTCAAAAACCTGGTGCATCAACTCAATAGTGATGTTTCTGCCACCATCTACTGGTGAGAGGAGCAAAAGCCACTTGCCTGAGCTGCCACAGGGTGACACAGTGGGAGCCTGCATCTCAGACCCCTATTGCCCTTCATGCCGTGAAGCCACAACACACACAAACACTGGCACTGAGGAGAAGTGCCAATGTCACAGGTCTGACCTGGCAGCCTCGCTGCTGAGGAGCTGAACCACAAGAGGAGACACCACGCTGCTGAAACAGAGACACCAGCACCAAACCCTGAATTCCCTTGTGTGCCATCAAGCCGAGGCACAACTCCAGAGGGACCAGAGATGCTTTGACCAGGGCAAGAATGAAAAATCACCTCTGCCAAGATGACTACATCATCATCATCTTCCTCACGCTGCTGCTCTGCAGGCGTTTCCAGCAACAAAGGTAATTCTTCATCCGAGGAGTCTGAGATCGTGATAAGACCTTCGTCCCTGCGGTTTATCCGGTCTGTAGTAAAATAAGTAAATTTAGCTATTTGCTATAGGTCAACAACTGAAATCACAGGGCATAAGCACTGAAACATCTGAAAAAAAAATAAATCAATCTTCACATTTGCATTGCAGCAACAGGGAAGAAACACTCAAAGGTCACTGGTTCCTCTGGAAGTTGCTGTCACAGCCACTCCTGACTCCCTCGGCCCTCTGAGCAAAACACCCGCAGCACAAGCTACAGCTCAAGAGACCAAAGGCACACGAGTGAAACAGTCACTCTGACACTTACGCAGAGATTCTTCCATCCCAAACTTCAGCATGAGTCAAGCTGCTGCAAAAATTATCCTGAACAAGCCACGTACTGAGTAATTCCTAATTTTTGCAGAGAAGTCCTGAATGTTCATTATCTCAGAGACAATGCATTTTACTAACGTGCAGTGTATTCTAGAAGAGAGGTAAGGTTCTCTGTGCAATTCAGCCTCTTCCAAAAGAGCGTCACTTTGCAGGAAAACCTTCTGCAAGCCTGATATGGGCCCCTGACTGTGGGTGCAGAAGAAATCCTACTATTAGATGACATCCTTGTCCCTCAAAGCTTGTCAAGAGTGGAATATAGATGATACTGAGCTGGAACACAGGAGAGACATCCAGCCAGGAACAGAGGACTTCTGTACTACAGAGACAGTGCACGACCATGCTCTCCCTACAATTTGACACAACATTTTGGCTTATGCTTTAGCATAAGTATTCATGATATTCATTTATGGCCTTTCAGGCATCCACAGGAAGCATCATGTTGAATTCTGCTCTTGAAGGAACGGGTGCCCATGCCTACACGCTATGAGGACAGGAACGCAAAGCCACCCTCTCTCCTGGGAGGTCCTCAGGAGGGTGGAACACCACAAGCCCCTCAGATCTGCTGAAATACCTCTACATGCTGTTCCCAAGGAGTCAACAATCTGCCTTCGGGCAGTACAACGTGAGAAAGGCAAGAGCCAAATATTTTGCATGTCAGCATAAAGCAAGAGAACTTTCTGTAGGTGGCTGTGAAGTCGGTGTAACAGAGCAGCGTGTGACACAGCAAAACAGACCTTGCAAGTTCAGTATCTATGGATCCTGCTGCTTGTAAGCAGTGTTTTACAGACAGAGGTTTGGAAATATGCGCAAATCAGTACTCACCTTTCCCTCTGTGACTACGGAAGCTGTTCAGCTCAGTTACTTCTTCATTTCCACCTCTCTCAGCCATTTTAAGCACCAGGACCCGAAGGCGTCAGTGCCCAGGCATGGCAGTCAGGCTCAAAGGAGGAACTAGAAGACAAAATAAAAGCAGGAGAGAGTAAGGCAAACTCAGCAGCACCCTAACCAGGCTTTCCCAAGACTAAGCCATTAGATCATTTTGGGGGTTCTCCTGGCCCCCCAGCATAGCATCTCCATAAGGATATTTTTCTGCACCACTTTCTCAGTGCCTAAAAGCAGAAATGTTTCTGTTGTCTTCTGTTCCAACAGTCGGGAGCCCACTGAAGAGTGCAGTCAGGCTCGAGAAGCCTCTCTGGAGAGGACAGGAAGATGCTGTGCAATCACAGAAGGGGGGGAGAGATACAAATCTGTCCATCCAGGACTCAAAACTTCCCCATATGTGGATGCTCCCCTGTTTACAAGAAGTCAAAAACCTGGTGCATCAACTCAATAGTGATGTTTCTGCCACCATCTACTGGTGAGAGGAGCAAAAGCCACTTGCCTGAGCTGCCACAGGGTGACACAGTGGGAGCCTGCATCTCAGACCCCTATTGCCCTTCATGCCGTGAAGCCACAACACACACAAACACTGGCACTGAGGAGAAGTGCCAATGTCACAGGTCTGACCTGGCAGCCTCGCTGCTGAGGAGCTGAACCACAAGAGGAGACACCACGCTGCTGAAACAGAGACACCAGCACCAAACCCTGAATTCCCTTGTGTGCCATCAAGCCGAGGCACAACTCCAGAGGGACCAGAGATGCTTTAAGCTCAGTTCAGAGCATCCTTGCTCTTGGCATGCCTGAAGGAAGCTGCACCCCTGGCAGGGCAGTATATAAGTGTGTGTTTTGTGCCTGCACTGTGAACTGGCACAGGAACAAGTCCCATTTACAGAGCACACTTTCTTGCCATCATCTGCTATTCTAAAGGAGAGACCTCCCTGATTTATGACACATCTCCTCCTCAATGAAGGTTTGGTACAAATTCCAGGATAGGCCACTTGCTCTCAAAGAGTGCACGACAGGGATCAGGGTCCTTTCACAGGACCAAGGTTTTGGGACCTGCTTCCGAGAGAAGCACAATGAGCTGGCTGGAGGCTCCCCACGGGATTAGGAGATCAGAGGAATCACTGCAACCTGAACAGCAGGTTTCCATTTTATGCTCTGTCAGCTTATAGCTCTCAATTCCTGCTATCGCAGAGCAGCCAAATACATACAGGAACTCCGACCACAATTTGATCACTGGAACAAGAAGGGCGGTCTTCTTATTGAAAAGTATTCATCTCATTATAAGAGCACGGAGGAATCTGTATTATTAAATATTTACTGATGTATAAGTTGGAAGAAAATGGTGGGTCTGCTATAAAATCCTGTTTGCTAGTACAAAAGAAGAGTATAAATTCCTTCTTAGTAATTCTACTTAACCTCCTCTGCAGGGAGCAGGACTTGCAGCGAGGACGGCAAAATGAAGAAATCAGTTCAGACACATAGTACGTGCTCATATCTATAGCCACCCCAGGGAACTAGGCATTACCATCTTCAAAATATTTTCATATAGGATAAAATAATAAGAATTAAAAAACCAACCCTATATTTTAGCACTTACAAAAGGCAAAACCCAAGCCACATTTCACAGGAAGTGCCAAGAGTTGGATGGCTTTGGGCTGGAGGTCACCCTCCGCCCGCTAAGGTCCACAGCTGAGCAGCAGGATAAACGAGGAAGGTGGCAGCATCTTCCCTGTTTGCAGGGCAGGACACTTGCTAACACACCCAAAGGGCACCAGCAGCACAGCCTGAAGCTGTCTTCTCTGGAGGGAACCTCCACCACAAAGGTTTCCAAGGCTTGGCTACAAACAGCTATGCTCACCTGGTCCCAGCGCTGGTGGTGGTGGTCCAAATTTGAGTGGGACATTGGGTGAGGGAACTGGAGAGGCCTCTTCTAACCAGCATTAACAAAAACACATTAGTAGCTCTATATTTGAGCCCTGAAACCTCAGTAGCACACCCTGTTTCCAGTAAGCAGCTCCCAAGAGCCTCATGGGCATGGCGATGCTTTGAAAATGCTTCAAGAGCAAGATTTTGGGAGCATTTTCACAAGGTTCTTCAGTTTCTGCCTTATCAAGAAGAAAAATCTTACTTTATTTGCCAGAATGGCATGAAATCTCATCATTGCAGACAGGTGCTGGAGCGGCAGCTCAGTGCTGGATCACTGTAAGCGTGCTTGGCGAAACCCTTCTCCTTTTTAAAAGGTCACAGCCCCATTATTACAGGTGTATTTTCCCTGGTCATTGTAAATAGCTACCACCTCGTCCTGCACAGCATTTCCCCATCCTTATCCCTCTCACTGTGTTAGAAAAGAAGATCAATCCACTTCTTGCCATTTAAAAGATGGAGAAATGGAAGCACAGAAAGGACCAGTGTAGGAAAGGACACCAAGCAGGCTAGCAGCAAAGCCAGGAGTGGCACCCAGGCCTCTTCAGCTCACGTACCCACACCAACCACTTCTTCTGGTCCTACAAAGCACTTCTTGCAACAGCCACCAGCCCCTACAGAGATGAGGTGGGCACCGGCTGAGGTGCCTCTGTGCAGGCTCAGACTCACCAAAGGAACCTCTTGGCAGGGAAAAATGGTGAAGGATCACTCCAAGACTTGCTGGGGAAGAACAGGGATGTTTGTGGAAGCCACAGGCCACCCTTTGCAGCATCATGGGGTGCAGACAGAGGCCAGACAGGTATCTGCTCAGGTCTGTGCTGAGCAGAGCTAAGTGGCTCAGGTATTTCTCCCCTCCAGGGGCACGTAGTGTGTTAGCAGAGCTGGGTACGTGTGTACACATGGGTGGGTCAACACCACAAGTGCTCAGAGTCACCAAAAAGCCTTCTCCCAAGCAGTGCTTCATCCAGTGCTGGCTAAACCACAGCAGTTAGCACCCAAGAACAAGGGATAAGCCCCAAGATGAACATTAAGACCATATTCAGGCAACTCCGGTTCCCGTAGAGAGGAACATGCACACTTCAACCTTCAGCATCAAGAAAGAGGTACAGGAAATAATCTGAAACGAAATTTGGGATAACAGACTGTCTACACCCCTGTACAAGAGCAAGATGCCCACACATCACCAGAAGAGTCACGGTGGTTTCAAAGCAGGAATATAATAAATAGAATTAACTGTAATACACAGTCAAGGCAACAACAACAACAAAAAGCCAAGCCTGGAAAGCACTGGCAATGTACCATTTTTCTATTTCAAAACAGACTGCATAAAACCCTGAGCAGCTTAATAAAGCACTGCTTTGAGGGTAAAAGCCAAACTTCCACCAACAACTTGCAATTCGTTTTGTCAATACTCAATACAGAGCTCAAGTTTAAACAAATATCTATAAGCTCGGGCCAGTTCCATCTAGTGGCACGAATAAGAAGTTTATTCATGTTTATAGCACTGGGCCGCCAAGAACGTGAAGTAACAAGATCAAAGCCACCCTGGGGTCTTGCCCTACATAAACAACATAATAAAAAAGTAAGCAAGACAGATGGAAAGAAGAGCTATCCTACACCACCTCAGTGATTTCAGCGCCTATTTATAGGTAAAGAATAAGGCTACCTATAACCAAGCTCCAACGTGACCATCAGCATTTCTGCAATACAGTCAAGGACAGGATACTAGAACCATTTTAAAAAGAAAAAGACCTGGCAACAGGCAGATATAGACTTTATAACTTTTTTTTATTTTTCCCCTTCCTTTTTCTTAAAAATTCCCACCTGCACTACAGCACACAAACAGGACTTGAGTCCCTGTACAGCACCAGGGTGACACAAAACTTGTCACATCCTTGAAGCCACCCGCTGACAGCACAGTGAAGACCTCCACGCTGATGATATGGTTCCACCAAATCTCCCCTCCGTTTTCCCCACGTTACTCCATGTAATCATGACTCTGCACTTCCAAGTTGTTTCATTGCACAGGCAAGAAAATCCTCCCCATTTAGGTTTTCCCTTCATCAACTTGAGAGGAGAAGAACCCACTAACAGAAGAGCTACCGGAAAAATCAGAGACCATCAGGGACTTGCATATAACTGTTCTCTGAACTGACTAGTTCTCAAAATTTAGGTTTTTCCTCCATCAACTTGAAAGGAGAAGAACCCATTAACAGAAGAGCTACCAGAAAAATCAGAGACCATCAGGGACTTAAGTATAACTGTTCTCTGAACTGACTAGTTCTCAGACTGACAAAGTCACACATATTTCCCAAACAAGCTTCCCGTACATGCGAATATTTAATCTACAAAACCACTGGTCCCAACCACCCCTATGAGTTGACGGATCAGCTGCTTCGAGGTGAAGCAGGTCCCAGGTGCACACAGAAAGCTGACACAAGGATTTCCAAAACCCATTCAAAATCCCTGCAAACACCAGGCTACGTATTTTTAGCCTGCCCTAAAAATAGCAGCCATCGGTACGGTGCATATATTTAAACTCCCGGTACACGCAGGCGTTTCTGGACTGCAGTAATTGGAGCAGAACTCAAATCTGCTCCCTCCACCTCACGTTTGTGCTGCCATGAGCATCTTCAGACAGTGCTGGAATTTAACGTGACAGTGGAGGGGAGACCCCCTGGCTCCTATAGACTGTGTAATGTATATTTCCCCCCCCGCTCCCAAGTTACAGCATTTGAAATCTCGAGCTCCCACATACCCAAGGCAGGACTAGGCTCAAAGCTCTCTTTTCTGGCTCTAGCTCAAGGCAAAGGGATTAGACAGAAGGCACTGCAGGGGAGGCAGGAATTGAAATCCCAACCGAAATGGGGGGGGGGGAATAAATAAAAGAGCAACTTGAAAGAGATGTCAGTACCATCAAATCATGGTGTGATTTAGCCTCTCCCCCACACAGCAACACCACCATTGCTCACCTACGTTGACAGAAGAGCATCAACTCCTACTTTCTGCCTGCGGGCAGCAAAGGCGTCTGCTGGTAGCCTGAGAGCAAGGTGAATTTCTGGCTCCTTTCAAGCTGCTAAAACAAAGAGAAGCTACTTAAATAATGCATGGCTTGTGACAAGCAGCAAAATGAAAAGCTAAAAATTCAGCCCTGAAAAAAAAAAAACAAAAAAACACCACCACAAACACACACAAAGCACAACATAGGGGAAATAAACCAGCCCAACTTACTGTGGAGCATTTCACTGAAACATTTCAAAGGGTTCGGGGACTGCTGGGGGCTGCTCCTCAGAACAGCCACTTAGCAGAAGCAGGGAGAGTTTAACAGCGGTCCAGACTGACAAAGTCACACATATTTCCCAAACAAGCTTCCCGTACATGCGAATATTTAATCTACAAAACCACTGGTCCCAACCACCCCTATGAGTTGACGGATCAGCTGCTTCGAGGTGAAGCAGGTCCCAGGTGCACACAGAAAGCTGACACAAGGATTTCCAAAACCCATTCAAAATCCCTGCAAACACCAGGCTACGTATTTTTAGCCTGCCCTAAAAATAGCAGCCATCGGTACGGTGCATATATTTAAACTCCCGGTACACGCAGGCGTTTCTGGACTGCAGTAATTGGAGCAGAACTCAAATCTGCTCCCTCCACCTCACGTTTGTGCTGCCATGAGCATCTTCAGACAGTGCTGGAATTTAACGTGACAGTGGAGGGGAGACCCCCTGGCTCCTATAGACTGTGTAATGTATATTTCCCCCCCCGCTCCCAAGTTACAGCATTTGAAATCTCGAGCTCCCACATACCCAAGGCAGGACTAGGCTCAAAGCTCTCTTTTCTGGCTCTAGCTCAAGGCAAAGGGATTAGACAGAAGGCACTGCAGGGGAGGCAGGAATTGAAATCCCAACCGAAATGGGGGGGGGGGAATAAATAAAAGAGCAACTTGAAAGAGATGTCAGTACCATCAAATCATGGTGTGATTTAGCCTCTCCCCCACACAGCAACACCACCATTGCTCACCTACGTTGACAGAAGAGCATCAACTCCTACTTTCTGCCTGCGGGCAGCAAAGGCGTCTGCTGGTAGCCTGAGAGCAAGGTGAATTTCTGGCTCCTTTCAAGCTGCTAAAACAAAGAGAAGCTACTTAAATAATGCATGGCTTGTGACAAGCAGCAAAATGAAAAGCTAAAAATTCAGCCCTGAAAAAAAAAAAACAAAAAAACACCACCACAAACACACACATAGCACAACATAGGGGAAATAAACCAGCCCAACTTACTGTGGAGCATTTCACTGAAACATTTCAAAGGGTTCGGGGACTGCTGGGGGCTGCTCCTCAGAACAGCCACTTAGCAGAAGCAGGGAGAGTTTAACAGCGGTCGATCGTGTTAAGCAGCATCATCCCAACTGAAAATTAGGAATCCCCTGATCATAAGCCCATCGAGAACCGCTGTGTGCAAACAAACCCTATTTGCCACACACGAGGCAGCTACTGCTGCTGCCTCGCACAGAAAAACAGCAGAGAATGAGATGTGGACCCGCAGCAGGGTGGCATGAAGGGCTGCCCCCAGCTCAGGCAAAAGTGGGAAACCATCCCAAAACCAAACAGCCTTCCCCCCAGCCTCCTGAAGACAGCAGTGCCTCGCAGGCAAGACCACCTGGTTTCCAGCAGCGGCTCGGTTTGCTATGAAAACAGCACAACCAGCTATGGTTATCACACAAAAGAGTACAGAACAGGGGTAGAATTATCACAACCGCATCCGTGTAGCTCTGCCACCAATATTTGCCCCATAGTATGTGCTGAAGGGGAACAACAAACTAGAAAATCATTTAATAACAGAATTGGCTTATAAATTTTACAATATTCCCTAAACATGTCACAAGCCATTAGCAGCTGGCTTGGTTTAGCAAAGGATTTTAGACAGACACATACACCCTCTAAGACGAGGACAGGATTCCCAAGATCTGAGAAAGATCAAGGAACAGAAGCCAAAGAGAACAATTTTTTCTCCATTAAGAGCCAGGTAACACAATCCTACTGCAGAAAGCCAGATAATGGATTCTGTCATGCCAAAACTTAAGACAATATAACACTAGAAGCCTTTTGCAGCAAGTAAATCAAAACTGACCATTCACCTGCTCTGCTGAGTATTTTTACAGTCGATTCTCAGTCACCCGCGTTACCAAGATCCCATCAGAAGATGTTTTGGGAAGAGAGGCTGTGGATTGACAGGGTATGAGCTGCATCTGTGTGTCATGGCTCCAGACTAATGAAAATTGCTTTGTCATGAGCAATTAAGAGAGCAGATTTTCAGAGATTACTTGGGTTCAAATCCCTAACTATTTTTTCCCCATTTTCAAGTCGGTTTAGGACTTACAGGAAACGGCCTGTACATCACAAGACTTTTAACCAACCACACTTGCAGTTCTTCATTCCATTAAGGTGACAGTGTCACTTAATCATAATTTTTTTGTAATATTTCATCTCCATTTTTATTGCTTCTATTAACACAAAGTACAAGAGGAAAGAAATCTGTCCAGTTTCATCTTACCCACCTAACAGCTGGCCACCTACAGCGATACTGGTTTTCCTTGCAAATCCCATCTCCCCTCTGCAAGCTCTTCTCTAAAACGTAAGACTGTTCTAAACCAGATGTACTTGTTTTCCAAAAATGAGCAACTATTAATTCAACTCCACTGAAAGTTTCTGATGCCTTCAAGCTATTCCCTGATGACTGGCATCAAGGTCAACTGCTGGACATTTCAGTGCCTTCCCATGACCCCCATCAGTCCTTCTGCTGAATAACAGGGCTCCAGATCATCACATCTCTCTGACCAGCATGAGACTGCTAATCTTGATGAATGCAAAAAATCCCCACGCTCAGCTCAAGAGATGGGGAGCTTTGGATCCATCATTTGCTTCCCCTATCAAATTAAGCCCTAAAAAAAAAATAATTTAAATTCAAGAAGTCTGGATGGAAAGGGGAGTTAATGCCATTGCCCTGAGTGGCTCATTTCGAGAGCAAAGTGAAAATATAAGGCTTTGAGGAGGGAGAAGGCATCTCTGCAGTTTGCTCCTGTAAAAGGTTCTTCTCTGTCTGCTTCAGACTTCTGGCCTGTGCAGGATCATACAGCGTAATCCCAAAATCCCAAACCTCCCTCCCACACCACAAACAGAGGTGCCAACTTGGCATTTGGTGCTCAAGCAACAGTTCAGGCACTGGCAGCTCCACAGATCACCCTGGCAGCACACACACACGGACCCAACCTCCTTGGGCACGCAGCCTATCTCCCAAACCATCAATTTAAAGAACTGTTTTTGCCATGATTTTGTGGCTTAAGGGTGGGGACGAACGGAAGAGCAAGTGAAAACATGTGATTTACAGCTTCGCCGCTTCCAGAGCGAGTTTTACTTTCAGTTTTCTTGCCCCAAACTCACACGTATCCCAGGAGAAAGGGGCAGAGGCTCCTTTCTCCAAGTGACACCATCATTAAACCTACCAGTGTCTGAAAGAGCTGGACACCACAGACCACCAGGTGCTGCACATACTTGCCACTGCTCTACGTAACATCAATTGTAACCACCTTCTCTTCTCCATCAGTCCAGTGGCCACATGGAAAAGAACAAGAGAAATGCCCTCCGTGCCCCAGGATACACATAGGAGAGTGCTCCTCTGTCACTTGGACTTCATAATGCTCTCCAGCAGAAAGGACACAGCAATTCCTCTCCAAATCCTTACTGTTATTTCTCCTTTTATCTTTATTTTTTTAAAGAGTGTCACCTTTAGAAGGTATAACACAACAAAGAAAACCAAGTACAACCTTTTAAGGAGTTCTTCAATAAGTTGGATGCAGGTCTGCAGAAGCCTTCAGGTTCCCATCTTAGCAACTTTTTTGACTGGAAACAGGGAAATTAAGGAGTTTAAGGTTGTTGGGTGGAGTAACCCTAAAAGTTACAACTTTCACCTGGATGAGACCCCAGCTGCCAGCTCCTCTCCCAGCTGAGTTTATGGGAGGCAGTGGGAGAGGAAGAGGAGGGACAGGCAGGACACAACCAAAAAACCACTGTTACAAGCAGCAGCAAGGGATGAATTAGACCAAAATCAACAGGGCTGGAAGGCACAGAGAATTGGTTTTAGTCACAGTAACAGCCAAAGGATTTTAAAGTCATGAAGGATTAACAGGTTGCAATGGCATCCTAGATGTTAAGCTGCTGCCCAACCCTGGAAACAAAGATCTAAACTGCACTTGGGAAGTCGTGTTCCTGAAAAAAACCATAATGCACCACCACAAGTAAATGTGGAAAGGAACGGAGGATTTTTTTAATTTTATTATAAATGTGACCTGAACCCATCACGAGAAGCTTTGCTTTCAAGGCTGGCTGCAGTCTGCAAAGCACACCCCACCTCGCTTCACAAAGCTGCTGACGATACAAAAGCCAAGGCTTGACCTTGAGGTGGCAGAGAAGGAAAAAAAAAATTAAAAAATTCCTGTCTTATTGCAGTAGCCCACCTTAGCAAAAAAAGGGAAGGTTTCTGTGTCAATCTGCACAGTATTTTTAGAAGTATTGACTTAAAAGTTTGCCACCAACCATCCTAGGTGTCGAACATCCCAGAATTAGGGACTTCCAAGAAGAATGACTTCACAGGTCACATATTCCATTACAGACATACCTTTTTTGAACCATGTTAAGCATCTGCACTTGACATAATTTCAAAGGTCAGTGACCAGTGGTGGCCAGAAGCTGTGGCTTCACGTTAAGAAGGTTTTCAGTGCCAGACCTGCTTAAGATGGTCACGTTCCCCCAGCGCAGCTTGTCACCTCCTCGCATACCGAGCTCCACCAGCATTTGTTACGGCTTTGAACAGAGATGCCCTGGAAAACTTCTATTGTAGGGTTCAGATCAGATACCTTCTCTCCTTATGCATCCACCACAGCGTAACTGGGAGAATGGAAATAAGATGCTGAAATAAACTGCAGAAAAGGAGGAAGATCTTAAACTTCAGCCAAACAGCTGACACCATGCAACTCTGCCGAGATACCCAACCGGCCCTCTAACTATGTGTGTTCCTACTCC